AGAACCCACATGAAAAGCAAGGCAGACATGATAGATACTCCACTACCGGCACTGCTGAGGTGAGGCAGGCATCTCCCTGGGGCTTGCTGTCTAACTAGCTTCGTCCACTCAGTGGTTTCTGAATCACCTGAGTCCATTTCTCCAAGACATAAGATAAAATAAAAAGGTAGACTGTCCTGAGGAACAGCACATGAAACTGGCCCCTGGCCACCACAATCTCATGCACACACCAAAAAGAGCACTAGTAAGAACAATTTGTAATTGCAATGCGGACAACCCACTGTTGATGTTTTGTTTTAGCATAAGTTACGTGTCTACAGAAAGAAAGGATTTCCGCAAATGTATGTTCCGTAGATGTGTGTGAGAGAGAAGTACGACCCACACCCAGCCTGGTGGGGAGCCTGGCCACAGAACTGCATGAACTCATTTCTTCACCTATCCGAAGAACAAAAGCCCAACCCAACGAAGCACTTGACTGGAGGACCATCTAAAGATGTCGATGGGATGGGCTAGAAGTTTTCGTAGCTTTTGGAGCATGAGAACACATAGTAGAAAAAGCTTCTTCGAGGTGAACAGGAAATTTTAAGCAGCACAACGCTGCTCTGTGGCTCCTGGTAAAGAAGCCACGGTGGTAGGCTTTGAAGGAAGGGTTGGAAAGCCACAACTGCAGGTCAAACCCAGCCATGCTATGTCAGAGAAACGCCCTCACCAGCTCCCATCTTCCGTAGTCACGTGCTTGTGCTGGGGGCCATGTGGTTCACACAGATGAAAATATTTACCGCCTGTTCCTTCGTGTGGAGAAAAAGGAAATTGCTGATCTCTGACCCAGAGAAATTCTTTGCCATTCTGGGGACTCCCAAAGTGTAGGGCTTCTGTTTGTGCGTATTGTTCATTTTGGCTGACTTGGAACTTCATTCTTGGTAGACAAGAGGATAGAAGAGAGCCCCCCCCCAATGACTCTGGTGAAGATACAATTTAAAATTGGAGATGGAAGCTACTAGAGGCAGAGGGATTAGGCTCCTTAGACACAGACATAGGCATCAACTGTCTGCACAATCACACCCACCCTCCATAGCCAGAGCTCTGGGGATGCTGTCTACCACTTTCTAGAAAGACTGCCGTGGGGTCAATCACCCTATGGCTAAATTAAATATTCCAAAAAAGTTAGACACAGAAGGCTTCCAGTTTTATATGATACAAAGCTCTCCAAAAGGCCATATGTCCTCAGAAAAAACGGTAAAGGGCTGTGGTGAAAGGCTTTGGCTCTGTGGCCAGGCAGTCAGGCGCTGGAGTTCCGTGAGCTGGAAAATCTCTGGAAACACCCACAGTTTCTTCCATAAATGAGGAACAATGGTGGCCTCTGTATACAGTTGTATTGGCTGGTTGGCTTAATAGTGCATCTAGAACACCTGTGGTTGTGACAGTGGTCAACAGATGCTGACTGTTAGATTGGGACTCATGAAGGGGACTTGGAAACAAAAGGAAGCAGATAGGCCTCTGAAGAGGCGGAATCATTCTTTTGATCAAAACCACCAAAGGGCCTCAGTCTTCGAGGAGGCAGAGACTACGCACGTGACAAGGGGGATCTTGGGATCTTAAGGGGGAACTTTGGGGATAGAAGATTCCCTTGCACTGTCCAAGGGGCAGATGCCATTCAAAGAGATAAGTTGGTCTTCTTGTCAGAAGCTTCCAGAACCTAACAGCCTACAGTCCACCCAAGGCATTTAGGTCATCATCCTTCACTGGCCATCATCACTGTTTGGTCTGGGTTCTGATTCAGTTGTCTTGGTGTTGTTTTGAATCTTTGAGTACTGTATTTATAGCATTTCTACCCTTTCCTCGGCACCCCTGCAACTCCTCTCAGATCCCCCCAACTCCCTCGCAAATTTGTGACCTCTTCTTCTTAATTACTGTTAAGTGTATGTATGTGTGTGTGTGTGTGTGTGTGCATGAGAAAGAGAGAGAAAGAGTATATGTATATTTATATGTAAATTCAATCTGCTGGGGTCATTTACTGTTTCTCATATGTATATGTGTTTAGAGCTGACTGACCATTTAGGACTGAATAACTTATCGGAAACTTGTCCCTGGAAAAGAATGGTTCTCCTTCTCTCGGTAGTCATTAATGTCCTATAATTCTTCATCTAGGAATGGAGCTTTGTAAGATTTCCCTCATCTTGCTGTTTTGTCATCTGGTGATGTCATCCCTTGCGGGTGTTTTATTTTTAGTCAGCCATATATTTGGGAGTTTATGGATGCTGCTTCCCTGTCATCCATACGAGTTTCACCTTTACAATCTTTCTGACCCCTCTTTTGCATGTTTCCTGGGCCTTCGGTAAAAGGGTTGGGTTGTAAAGGTATCAACTGGGGTTGCAGTTGGTTTTTTGACATAGAATCTCACATAGCCCACACTGGCTCTGAAGTCCCTATGAGCCCAAGGATGACCTTGAACTCCTGTCTTTCTACCTGGAGAGCTAGGGTTATAGTCACTCACCTCCAGACCTGCTGTGAAGATGGTTTCCTGGCTGGATTAGAAATACCTTCTTCGGTTATATGCACATGTGTGCAAGCATATGGAGGTCAGAGTTCAATCGCGTGTGTTGTTAGTGTCCTATAAATGATCATAATCTCCTTAAGAGATTTTTTGAAGTGTTTTTTTATGTGTCTGGTGACATTTAGTAAATGTCTAGTTTGTACACTCCTATGACCAATGGAGCACCTTTGAAACTTAGAATTTAATCTAGGAGAATAACTTCATATAATCAAGCCCATCACATGAATGTGTGTGTACACGTGTGTGTGCAGACAGTGCTCATCAACTGGAAAATGTCTGTGGAATAACACACCATTTACCTACATGCAGTACACTTTATTATTTCCTTCCACCATTTCTAAGAGGGATTTGAGAAGCATGTACCCATAGCTCACCAACCTGAAGGCTCTGGCCTGATGGCTTACACTCTAATACAGTCTTTCTTTGCCATTTGAGGCCTAATAACACCCGTCTTTTTTTTTTTTTTAACCTATTCATGCTACTGTGCATTCTAGTTTAACTTCTGTTGCTGTGATTAAATACTCCGGCCAGTTTTTCTACCGTGCACTCTAGTTTAACTTCTGTTGCTGTGATTAAATACTCCGGCCAGTTTTTCTGGCTTGTACTGCAGGTCACAATGCATCCTTAGCAGGAATTAAGGCAGAAACTGGAAGGCAGCCTGCTCTCTATTCCATAACGTATTACCTCCACCAAAGAACTCACAGGCAAAGAAGGGCAGCAGGAGCCACAGAGAACGCTGCTGGCTGTTTTGCAGCCTGGCTTCTATCCATCTAGCTTTTCACAGCATCCAGGACCACCTGCCCAGGAAATGGTGCCACCCACAGGGAGCTGGACCCTACTATATCAATTAACGATGAAGACAATGAGTGTGCACAGGCAGATCTGATCTAGGCAATTCTTCAGTTAAGGCTCTCGGCTCCGAGCTCTGTGGAGTTGACAATTAAAGCTAATTAGAATACTATGCCTTGCACCCTTAATTATATCTTTTGAAGTCAAAGTAAGGTTTTATTCCTAACTCAAAAACTTTCACAATTTTCTACCACAGAGGAAACAAAGGCGCTCTCAAAATTGTTTTTAAGTGGAACTGAGTTTACATCTGCATAAAATTGAAGAGGGTGGATTGTTCTGTCTGTCACAGGAAATTTCACAACCCAAACTACAAAAGGCAATCAAATGCCAAAATTATCTTCCTCTTGAAGTCTAGACTCTGGTGTGAAAGCTGCTTGGAATGAAACATAAGCAAAATAGATAAGAAGGTAAAAGAAAAAAGTAGCCTCTGCTCCTAACCTCTGCTTATCCCCACACAGGGATGCCTGCTGAAGGGCTGGACATCAAGTCATTTATGTATCTGTTCTGTTCTGCTCTTTCTGTGTGTGTGTGTGTGTGTGTGTGTGTGTGTGTGTGTGTGTGTGTGTGTGTTTATTTATTGAGTCAGGGTGTGTTGATCATCTTTTTTGTCAACTTGACACAAGTTATCTGAGAGGACAGAACCTCAACTGAGAAAATACCTCCATAAGATTGGCCTGTAGGCAAGCTAGTAGCAAATTTTCTTAATTTAAAAATTGGTGTGGGAGGACTCAGCCCACTGTGGGTGGTGCCAATCCCTTGGCAGGTGGTTCCGGTTGTACAAGAAAGCAAACCAAGTAGTCCAGGAGAAGCAAAGTCAGTAAGAGTTATTCTCCATGGCTTGGGCTTCAGTTCCTGACTCCACGTTCCCACCCTGAGTTCCTGACTCAACCTCTCTCAGTGACGGACTGGGAGGTGAACTTGATCCTTCCCTTGCCCAGCCTGCTCTGAATCACTGCAACAGAAACCAAATCAAGACACAGGGACTCGGTATGTAGCCCTGATGTCCTGAACTTGCTATAGGCTGGCCTTGAACTCAAAGATTCATATGACTCTGCCACACAAGCACTGGGATTAAAGGCACATCCCACCGTGATCAGTCTCAAATGCCACATGTCTTCAGTTCTGTCTATCTCCTTTGAATCAGGGTCTGACCCCAGGGGTCCTCCTGTCCCTACTTCCCTGGTGCTGAGATTACTAACAAGCCCAAATTTTTTAATATTTGAAGGTTCTGAGGACAAAAGTCAGGCCCTGGTGTTTGCAAGGCGAGCACTTTACCAACTGAGCTATCTGTTCAGCTCCCATTTGTTATGTCTTGACACAGTAAGAGTTGTCACCCGCCAAAATCATAGCCATCATCTAAAGGAGGATGGGAGACAGTTTATTCTGGAGCCATTTCTAGTCACCATGACGGGGGAACACAGATTTTGGCTACTCCAAATTCCATGTTCCAAGGTGGAAGTAGTTTCATGGTTCTATGGAACAAAGAAGTCATAAATCAAGGGAAGTTCAAATCCATTGGTGGGCACATTTAAGAAGCAGTCACAACCATCTGGGGAAGCTTTGTTATCGACCCGAGATAGTGTCTGATGGCATTTTTAGCTGTGGGGTTGGTGGAAGCTACTGGCCTGCTAAGTTAATAGATTCTAAAGGGTTCCCATCTGTTAGCCACAAACTGTTAGTTCTGACATGGAAGTGGGCCAGGATAGGCACCCAGGATGAGGTAACCAGCCTTTGGACCGGCCACCGCCCAGCTTCTCCACAGCACTGATATTCTCACAGTGCCTGTCTCTGCAGACACAGCTTCTTTCCGGAGTGCTTGTTCACAGAGTTGGTCTTCCTGTCCTTGCTTTCCCTAACTGTGTTCTTTCCAACTGGCATTCTCTCACAGAAGCACAACCAATACCTTCTCTTTCTGCCTTGTGACCAGATCAGAAGTATAAAGCCGGGAAGATCCTAAAGAAGACTCCGATTCAAGGCCAGGGTGAGGAAACATGCCTCGAATTCTAGGACTTGGGAAGCAGAGGACAAGGGGCCGTGATTTCAAGGTTATCTTCCCTTAAATAGCCAGGCTGGGCAGGGCCATTTGAAACCCTGTCTTAAAACAAAAACAAAGACATTACAAATGTGAAGGCACTCTCCAAGCCTTCTGAATTCCAGCCCCAAGGAGCTGTTGGCAGTCCTGGACCGTCTGAGAGCAGCCTTCAGAACCGTGAGACCTCCTTTCATACCTATTTCATAGACATTTGTGATGTTTTCAGATTTGAGAGCCTGCTTCTCTCTGTCCTTAGTGGAATTTCTAAATAGGTTATACATGCTAAGTATAGTTAGGGAAGCCTCTGACTCATGACTCTCTTGCTTTAGTACCCTAAGGGACAGATTACAGGCGTGAGCCTCCATACCTGGTTTTCTTTCTTTCCTTTTCTTTCTTCCATTTTTTCCTTTCCTTTCTTTCTTCTTTCTTTCTTCCTTTCTTTTCATTTCTTTCTTCTTTTTTACTTTCTCAAATGTTTTCAGAGACACATTTTTTTTAAGTTGAGTTGTTTTTGGAAGTATTTAACACATGAATCTGTATTTACATCATTCGTACTTCCCCTTTGTCTTCCAACTAATCCTGTGTCATCCCCCCCAACACACCCTCAACCTTTATTTTTGATTGCATGCAAAAAAAAATCTCAAATATCTTGTGTCTAACTCATAGCTGGTGAGTCCAGAACTAAGGGTGCAGTACAATGTTGGGAGAGACCTTTTATTTACAGAGCAACTCAAAGAAAGACAGTGTAAGATCAAATCTTTTGTCCCTTTGCCATTGTGTGCTGTATGACCCTCAACTGCTTTCTCATACCTAAGTATCAGTCATGTTAGAAAAATGAAGTTAATAATAACACAGTGGAGTATAGCCTGCTATTGTATCTTTGCAAAGAATTTCATAACATAAATATGGCAAGCAGCTAGTATACACCAGAACCCTGGGAAAGCACACTACAGACATCTTCCTTATTTCATTAGTAATTTTATTGCTTTTGTTGTCCTAAGAGTCCTCCTCCAAAACCCCAACCCTGGACAGAAGAAGCTGGACTCCAGCAATGTGACAGAGGCAAATATTTACATCCCGTCCTGCCAAGTTCTCCCCAGTGAACGGCCTGTCTTAGGACTGAGCATTATGAGAAAGCCCTCCAAAATGAAGGCATACCCAGGAACACTCTGTAACCGATCCTCAGAAACTTGGGATGCAACTGGCTGCCAGCTTCAACAGACTCTCTGAGCCCAAGGGGTCCCAGAAGTGATATACCTTCCAAGAAGCCCCCAACCAACAAAGGCTGGGAGATTCCGCCATGAGACCTACCACGTGACCACTGGCAGCACATAATCTGAGGTAATGGCAACAGACTGGGACTAAAGCTCTTGCTTCACACTACCCAAATCCCCAGACTCCACAACTTTGACCCAACATCCTAAAACCACAATCTCGGAACAATGAGTTGGTTGCATTTATCTTCAGTTCCCAGAGGAAGCCTGCCAAGCAACTCTTTGCAAGTCGTGGAAGAGGTACCAGAGGATCAGCTTCCAAGGTCACCAGGTCTGTTGAAACATGACCTGTGGGATGATATGTTCAAGGTAGATCACCTGAAATGAAGAGGTTTGACTGTTAGAGGCTAGCCCTCAGCTTGGTCCAATGCTCCTTGATTATCTAAGGTAAGCCCTTAGATGGAGCGATGAGGCAAACACTGAACTCTGGCTACTCTCTCACCTCCCCAAGTTTAGTCTAGAAAATGCTTTCACAATACAGATGGTAGGGACTGATCAAGAGTCCACGTGGATAAACTGAGCTGAAGACATCTCACTTTGTTTCTCAGTCTTCAAACTTTCGGCCATGAGCCTTGAAAACGTGGGGCGCTGGGAACAGCAAAACAAGGCATTCTGCCTGATGCTTAGCTCCCATCTCCTACAGCTTCATGTGAGATGCACAGTTGTTCTCAAGGCACAGCTCTCAGACTGAGGAAAACTCTAGGGGTCAGCTGGGTTATCCTCTTGTCTCTTAAGAACTATACCTAATTCATGAGATCCATTCAAAGCTTTGCAAAATTTACATTCCTTTTATTATTATTTTGGTTAACATACTAAGTTAATGGTTTACAGTGTGGTATTTCCACCCATCTGCCATTATACTTGGTTTTAATTACTTCAAATTTATCATTCTTTGAACATCTTTCTGACCCTTCTCCAGGAGGGAACTTCAATGATTAAAGGGTAGAATATTCTAGTGCAGACTCAGCAAGCAGATAGGAACGGCTCCAGATTTTGTCCAGTCCCTCTGCCATGTGTAGAATCTCTGCTTTGCTTCTGATGAGACACACATATTACTGCCCCATGTGATACAAAGCACCAGTTTCTCGTCAACGTCCTTCAGTTGGGACAAGCCACTATGTGATGGACAAAACCTGGTTGCATTTCAGAACTTAGAACCTCATGGGTGTAGGGAAAAAAGATAAGATGGGTTAAAATTCACTCCATGCTTCAGGCCTTGATACCTACCTGTGGACTCTGACAGGATAGTCAGGTCAAGGAGGAGAAGACTATTATGGATGCCAGGATGATAAGAAAATAGGCTCTTGGGTTCCTTGGACATGGAGTCATTGTAGAGCTTTAATTTTGCATCTGGGAAAGATGAACCTCATTTAGTAAATACCTGTAAAGACATGAGGTGGAAGGGATTGCTAGGAAAGCTACTACTTGTCACAGAAGGCAGCTAGAATAATAGAAAGGTTATCCAGCAAAATAGCATGAAAAGTGACTGTGTGTTTATATGTATGCTGGTCAGTTTTTTGGCAACTTGACATAAACTAGAGTCACCTAACCAGAGGGTACCTGAACTGAGGGCTGTATCATTGGATCTACCTGTGAGCATATCTGTGGGACTTCGTGATTTGTGTTTATATGAGAGGGTCCATCCTACTGTGGGTGATGCCACCCACGGGCAGGTGTCCTGGGTTGTATAAGAAAAGCAGTTGAGTAAGCCAGAGGAAGCAACTCAGTAAGGCATGTTCCTTCCAGGTCTCTGCTTCAGTTCCTGCCTTGGTGCAGCGTCCTGCGTCCATAGGCACTGATATGGATGAGCACACCTGCACGTGCACACACACACACACACACACACACACACACACATACACACATGCAAACACAAATAGATTAATATTGCGTTGAAACTGAAGACAAGCACAAGCTGCTCTGACGATATTTTATTTTCTTCCTTCTCCGCCAGTCTCTTCTCCAAAGTCACTGTCCTAGCTACCCTTCTGTTACTGTGACAGAACACCATGACCAGAGTCACTTATGGAAGAGCTTCTTCTGGGTTGTGGTTCCAGATGGCACAAGAAGCAGTCAGGATGGGAGGAGCTGGAAGATGAAAGATCACATCTTTGGATGTAAGCAAGGAACACACTGAAGTGGAGTGAGGCCTTAAACTCTCAAAGTCCATGCCAGTGACCTGATTCCTTCAGTAAGGGCTCACCTTCTGGTGAGCATGAGAGAGAGAGACAGAGAGAGAGACAGAGAGAGAGAGAGAGAGAGAGAGAGGGGGGGAGGGAGGGAGGGAGGGAGGGAGGGAGGGAGGGAGAGAGGGAGAGAGGGAGAGACAGAGAGACAGAGAGAGAGAGACAGACAGAGAGAGAGACAGACAGAGAGAGAGGGAGAGAGGGGGGGGAGAGGGAGAGAGGGAGAGAGAGAGAGGAGAGAGAGAGAGAGAGAGAGGATATTGTGCTCTCCTTATTCTTCTTTTCCAGATCTTACACTGCCGTGTTCACTCCTGCTTCTTTGTTCCTTTCCTCTTCTGGTGTTAGACCTCTTCTTCCTGTATCTTTTACTTAGCTGGGACACAGGATAAACTACCACGATGAGGGTGGCCTCAAACTCAGAGATCCTGCCTCTGCCTCCTGAGTGCTGGGATTAAAGGCGTGTACCACCTCCACTCGGCCATCAGGGACATTTTAAACATTTTCACACCAAATATTTGCACACCCAGTCTCATAAAACAGCAATGTTTCATTCAACAAGATAGTCTTCTTAGCAGCGCATAGTCACTTTCTCCAGAATGGACCACATTTTATGACACAAAGCAAGTCCTTAAAAATAAAATCAAATCAAAATAGTTTCTTACAATGTATTTGATCACAGTGGAATGAAACTAGAAATCAACAGTAATGAAAATGTATGAACTCATGGAGATTGAATAACATACTGTTGAATGATGAATGGGTCATTGAAAAAAGAGGAAGTATAAGAACTCCTAGAGCAGAATAAAAATGAAAACCCAAATGTACCAAAACCTGTGAGATACAATGATCTTAGTTCTAAAAGTGACTTTTAGAGCTATAAATATTTTGAAAATAATCAGAGAGATCTAAAACAATCTAATGATTTACCCTAAAGCTTTAGAAAAACAAGAACAAGCCAAACTCCAAATCAGTAAAACTGAGGGCAATGATAAAAATCAAGGCATGATCTAACAAAATGAAAATAACAATACAAGAATCAGTGAAACAAAGAGTTGGTTTTTTGAAAAGGCAAGCAAGGCTGACAAATCCTCAGCAAACTAAGCAACAGAAACAGAACAAATCCAAATTCATAAAATTAGAGATGAAAAGGGAGGCATCATAATAGATGCCAATTAAATTGAGAGCACCATTAGGTTGTAATTTGAGAATCTATATTCTAGTAAATTGGAAAATCTAAAGTAAATTGATAAACTTTTAGATAAGTATATCTACCAAAATTAGACCAAGAAGACATAAACAACTTAAGCAGACGTATGATGGAAAAGGAGCTTGCACTAGTAATAAATAGTCTCTCAAATTAAAAAAAAAAGCCAAAGTCTATATGGATTCACTGATGAGTTCTAGAAGACCTTTAAAGAAGGTGAACTAAGACCAATACCCTCCAACCACTTCATATAGTAGAAAGGGAGAGAACATTCTTAAAACTACTTTATGAAGCCAGCATTACTCTGATACCAAAACTGTGTTAGGATACAAGTAGAGGGAGAGATAGATGATACACAGATGGTTTAATTCATTATCATGGCAGAACATGGCAGTGTGCAGGCCAACATGGTGCTGAAGTAGCTGAGAGTTCTATATCTTGACCCACAGGCAGCAAAAGGAGTCTGTGTACCACCATGGGCTTAGCTTGAGGATATGAGACCTCAAAGCCCACACCCACAGTGACATACTTCCTACAACAGGACCACGCCTACTCCAACAAGGCCACACCTCCTAATAGTGTCTCTCTCAATGGGCCAATCATTCAAATACGTGAGTCTATGTGGGTCATTCCTGTTCAAACCACCACAGTCACCATGACAAAGTTGGCTTAGTTCCAGAGATAGTTCAACATAGTCAAATCAGTAAATGCAATATATGACAGAAAAAGATTCAAAGAAAGAAAATAGAGGACCTAGAAGTAAACCCATGCATCTATGCTCACCCAAGTTTAGACAAAGTTATTTAAAAAAAAGTCAGATACTTTACAAACAATGCCAGGAAAACTGAATATTCACATATAGAAGGATAAAATTAGGTTTCCTAATTTCTTACCCTGAATAAAAATCAATTCAAACTGAATGTAAGACTCTGATGTATATTTGAAACTGAAATTGGTAGAGGAAAAAAAAATGGGAAGGGGGACACTTCATGGTGTAGGTATACATAGGCAAGAACTTTCTGAAAACCATAAATCATTCCAATCATTCTGATAGTAAAGCCAAAAATAGACTAATGCGGTTGCAGAAAATCAAAACATTATTCACAGCAGAGACAGCCAAGTGAAGGGGCAGCCTACATAATAGAAGGAAATCTTTGCTAGCTAAACATCTGACAGGTTAATAGTTAGAATATATAATGAGCTCTAAAAAAAACCCACAAATAAATAGACTAACATACAACATCTTTAGTTCCCGTATCCCATTCAGCAGGCTATTTAACTGAAAAACAACTAACAACAAACCAATTATCAAAAAGTTCTAAGACAGGAAAAGGGAGCCTGCCACAAGCTTCTTCTGGGCCTGTAAATTAATTCAGCCAATATGTAAATCAGCACTGAGTTTCCTAAAAAAAAATTACAAGTCTCCTGTGATCTGGCTGTGTATACCTGAGGGAGTCTAAACTTGCACAGTGTAGACATGAGAGATGTCCCCTGTACGTCACTATTCACAACAGTGGAGTCAGCTTAGATGTACATGAACAGAGAAATACATTGAAAATCCTATCTTTTTCTGGGCAATGGATGATTTTCTGGAATTGGAGATTATCATATTAATCAGCATAATTTTAAATCCCCAACATGAACTCTAACACCCCTATTCTATCTGAATCCAGTTCTCATACTTGCTCTATTTCTTCAAACTGTGATCTCCCCGGCCCTTTTAGCATGCCATGTATGTTTTTAATAGTCAAACATGGGGTCCCAGGCAAAGGGAATTCCCAACAAATAGGCCTTTATTGAGGCGAAGTGTAAGGAGTGTGGCAGGCTGTGGTCCTGTGATGAGGTTTTTGCTTCTGCTGTGTCTTTTTGTTTTTGTTTTCTAGATTTATTTATAAGTATACAGATTAGTATGCAGTATTCTATTAACATGTATGCCTACATGCCAGAAGAGGGCACCAGATCTCATTATAAATGGTTGTGAGCCACCATGTGGTTGCTGGGAATTGAACTCAGTACCTCTGGAAGAGCAGCCTAAGCGCTTAACCTCTGAGCCATCTCTCCTGCCCTTGATGATGTTTTGAACGAGCCTGTGCCTCTGGAGGGTGAACTTTGAAAGTAAAGTACTTCTCAATGTGCTAGGGTGATGGTCCCACAGTTAAGAGCACTGGCTGCTCTTACAGAAGACCAGGGTTCAATTTCTTGCATCTATGAGACATCTCATGACTGTGACTCCATTTCCTTATGAAGCTGTTTGTCTCCTGTCATCAACTTAAGAAGATGTCAACATAACCTCCAGCAATTCATCAACTCAAGTTTACATTTCTCCTTCCCTGAGCCACCGACAGCTTCTTAAGACAGTCTGGCTACCCAGCTATGTATTTCTGTGCCGTGAAGTTTTCCACCCCCATAAATTGGGGTGGTCTACTATCTATTCATCTTCCCCCCTCCTTTGTGCATATGTACATGTGTATGATGTGTGGGTGGACACGAATGCATGTGTGGGAACACACGTGTTCGTGGATGTGTGTGGAGATGAAGGTTTGATGTCTTCGTTTGAGCTCCACTTTTTTTAATTGAGTTAGGATCTCTCACTTGAACCTGGAGTTCACCAATTCCAGCTAGACCAGCTAACTAACTTCTTGCCCTGGACGCATTCTCTCTCTGTCTCCCACATGCTGGGGTGGTGGGCAGTCTCCCCACCTGCCCCGTCCTGTAAGTTTTGGGGACCCAATCTGCTCCTCAAGCTTGCATGCAAACAGTTTGGTCACTGAGTGGCTTCCCCCACCCTCTTTCGCTGTTCTGTTTTCTGACTCAAGGGTCACTTTGCCCTGTGGCCTAACTTCTTTTGTATGTTCGAGAAGAATTATAGACGTTTCCGGTATGTTTGTTTTTCCAGCCTTTTCTTGATTTCCAGCTGGCCATGGACTTTCATCTCTTTGCTTGCTTGATCCCAAGCCTCTCCTCACTTGGAGTGTTACCCTGCATTCACATCCCGGAGCCACAAACATAACCCTCTTTGCACTTTTAGGTCCCACTGAAAGATGTGGGATGTGAGTCGGTGTTTATGGCATTCTTGTAGCCTCTTTACACCACCGGGCCTCCTGGTGTTTCACATTTACTCTTTAATTACAGCCTGAAGCTACAGCTCTCCAGCTCACTTCACTTGTTGACAAATTCAAATGAATTCACTTCCTAAGACTTACTGTGAATGTGGTCTGTTGAAATACCCTCCCTCCTGTGAAACTGTTTCAACTCAAGGCAAGCTGTCTTCACTCCACCCTCTAAATCTTTACAGACTGGGTAATACTAGGCGACTTCACTAAGTGGCAGTAGGTTCAAGCAAATTTTGAAGGCTTTTGGGCATGGGTGGATTTACATACATTAACAACTGTCTTGGGACTGTTGAAGTTAATTGATTAACAACAGAAAGCTTGTAGCAGCTCAGGAAGTGGTGACTGTTAATAAATCCTGTCTGACATCTTGCAAATTACTTATCATTACTGTCTCCATCTTACAGACGAGAAATAGCAGGCAATTCCCCTGACACCCAACTGGTCCAACAAAGCTTGGAACCCAGACACTAGGGTCTGAGTCAGTAGTCTTAATAACTTTACTGATGACTGACTGATCTGCTAGAAATCTATGAACATTTCAGGTAAGATAACCTTTAGGATTATTTTATTTCAGACTTCTTTTTTTCAATAAAAATAATTTTTATCACTGAAAGAACAATTTTCCTCCACTTAAATCTTTTTTTTCAGAAATAATTATAAGAGATGTATGGTCATTTAATGCTATTCTTATCAACCATGCAAAAAGAGAACAATGAGTTTACAGTATCATAAGAGGTGATGTTCATTTCTCCAGTCCTAAGAGTTTTCATTTTTGTGAGATAAGGTATTTGGTACTGGAGAAATGGCTCGGTTATCAGGAGCATATACTATTTCTGTAGAAGATCTATGTTTGGTTCCCAGGACCCACGCTGGGTGGTTCACACTGCTTGCATCTCTAGCACCAGGGAATCCAAAGTCCTTTTCTGGCCTCCATGGGCACCAGCATTCTAAAGTGCATACCCCAGGCACACCTGCTGTGTGCTTTGAATAAAAATGTCCCCCACAGGCTCATATATTTGAATGCTTGGTTATTAGGGAGTGTGGAGATCACAATAATTCCTAAACATTAGCCACCTCCTTGCATCTTCTGTTGCATGACCCTTGTCCCAGATTCTCTACAGTTACAAGATGAACGGCTGGTTAAAAATTAAGACGAGACCCCTGTTGTGTCAAGAACTATGTTAAGATAACCACAGACTTGTGTAAGCAAGCCCCCTGTTTAAGCTAATACAAACACCTTTGTTGGCTTTACGGACGCTGTAACGATACGCGACACACAATTAAGGAAAGTGAAGCTAAGTATTTAATTTAGAAAATTACTCACAAGATACCAAACCCCGAGAAGCCCAGCAGATCTCAGCTAGCGACTGGACCGGAAGCCGAACTCCAGGAAAAGAGAGCGAGACTTCCTGTGCGCTGTCTTTTATGCCTTCCCCCGTAACGCCCCTAGCCATGCCCAAAAGTGGGCCTGGCTAGTGACGTAGTTCCGCCTACGTACGTATACGTCTTTACGTCCAGCCGTATACGTCTTTAGTCCTGCCTAAAGTGGGTGTGGTTAGCGGTGTGGTAAACCGCCCTTTTATTACCTCATCTGTATGCGCCTCTAGTAAGTCACATGTTTAGTGGCGGCATAGACTTAGTAAGTCACATGTTTAATGGCGGCATCAGACTTCCTCCTACAATTCCCCTTTTAGTCTAAAAAAGGACAACTAACTTGTGTCCATGAACAAAATGTATCAAACATCTATTCTATCTAAACCTAAACTTATCTTAAAGAAACACCCAAATATGAACACCTCCTTCCAATCCCAACTCTAAAATAATTGAAAACTAACACTAACAGGTGTGATCTTATAATATCAATAGTAGGGAGAGGGGGCGTGGAATTCTCAAAACTACTTCCTGCTGAGATGGGACGATGATAATCTCATGGGGACCTGTGAAAAGAAAATGTTAGTATAACAAAATCTGAGTAGATCAGACAGTCTCAGTATGGCAGGAGCTGCTTGATTGAAGTTCCTGACTGAGGTTCTAGTGTTGATTGAAGCTCTTATCTTGAAGCTCTGGTCAGATTGTAAAAGATGTGCTATTTCTGTTCCTTGGTCTGGAGTTGTGTCGAGTGATGTAGTTTCAAGCCAGTTTCAGGATAGTGCTTGTCAGGTGGAGTCAATGATGTGGGGCAATTCAGATGCCTCCAGTCGAATCAGGTGAAGTCAAGGAAGTGGATCCTCATTCTCTTTCGGAAGCAGTTGAAGATTGCTGTCAGGAAATCCCTTGTTCTCTGGAAAACTCGAACATTACTGTTAACAAAGAAATATTTTAACTTTCACATGTAAGCATACAGAAGAGGTGACAATAGGGAAGATGGAAAACCTGGAGGAAATTAGACTGTTCAGAAAAAGAAATCCACAGAAAACAGTCCCTCATTTTATTTCTTCTGTCTTATATCAATGGCTCTTTGATATAATACAGAAATTAGGAATTGTATTTAAATAATATGCTAGGGTTTAGAGTAGGAGAGCCAATCCAACTCCAAAGCCAGCTTCAGTTAAATGAATGGGAATTGAGGTATGTGAAGAAATAAAGATAAAGGTGTACTATGAAAAAGCAATATAGAGAGATTTAGACTTTGATACCACACAGTGTGTGTTTGATGGTCCTCAGGGTAGCTATTCATTCTTCTACAGGAATCCATATGTCCAGTATTCTTTGCTGAGTTTACCTGTGAAGACAAAAACAAAGCACTTCTCTTTCCTTTTAGGAGGTCACTTTACCCATTGTGGACTATGAATTTGTAGATGGGCTGTTATCTTCCTCCTCCTGAGATGTTTTCTGTTCTGATCGAATTTTAATTAATTTTGATGGAACCCAAACCTTTTCTTCCCCTGTGGAAACAAAAGCATAACCCCTTCCCCAACGTAACACATATCCTGGTTTCCAGACTGAGGTCATAACATCCTTAAAATACACCGGTTGGTTCAGTTCAGAAGTCTTCTCTGTAGTCCAGTGTCTTTCTGCTGCAGTTTGTCCTTTTTCATCAGCATTAAGAAAATTCAACGTTAGTAAAGCATTGTGTAACCTGTGTCTAGGTGTCTTTGTTTTCCCTGGCTGTTTATGAAGCATCTCCTTTAAGGTTCGGTTAGACCTTTCAATTATTGCTTGTCCTGTGGGATTGTAAGGTATACCAGTTACATGTTTTATATTATAATATTTGAAGAATTGTTCCAATTTACTGGAGACATATGCTGGACCATTGTCAGTTTTTATTGTTTTAGGTATACCCATAACAGCCATTACCTCTAAGAGGTGTGTAATAACAGAGTCAGCTTTTTCAGAGCTGAGGGCAGTAGCCCATTGGAAGCCTGAGAATGTGTCTATAGTATGGTGTACATATTTCAAACTGCCAAATTCTGGGAAGTGAAATACATCCATTTGCAAAAGTTCATTTCTGTGAACACCTTTAGGATTACAACCTGCTGGTAATGGAGTTTGATTGTACAATGAGCAACTGGGACAATTTCTTACTATTTCTTTGGCTTGTTGCCAGGTGATAGAAAAATCCTTCTTTAAACCTTTGCTGTTAACATGGTGTTTCTTATGAAATTCTGAAGCTTCCAACACATTACCTACTAATAAACGATCAATTTCATCATTGCCTTGTGCCAGAGGACCTGGCAGACCTGTATGGGATCTGATGTGTGTTATATATATAGGATGAGTCCTGTTTCTGATGATTTCCTGCAATTGTAAAAACAATGAGGTTAATTCTGTATTATCAGGAACAAATTCTGCAGTCTCAATGTGCAGGACAACTCTTTCTGCATACTGAGAATCCGTGACTATATTGAGAGGCTCTGTAAAGTCTTTAAGTACCATGAGAATGGCATATAACTCTGCCTTTTGTACGGAGTTGTAAGGGCTTTGAACTACTTTACTTATATTTCCTGATTTATACCCTGCCTTACCTGATTTGTTTGCATCCGTGTAGAAGGTAAGAACTCCAGAAATAGGTGTTTGCCTCACGATACGTGGAAGAATCCAAATTGTTTTCTTTATGAATTTGATTCTCTCTGTTTTGGGATAGTTATTACTAATACTTCCCAAAAAGTCACTGCAAGCTATTTGCCAATACTCATTATCCTTCCATAAGGAGGAAATTTCCTCATTCGTTAACGGTACAATAATTTCAGCTGGGTCTTTCCCAGTCAGTTGACGAAGCCTTAATTTACCTTTTAATATCAAATCAGATATCTTTTCTATATATGTTTTCAATTTTTTATTTTGTTTATGTGGCAGAAATACCCATTCTAGAATGATGTCGTCCCTCTGCATTAATATTCCTGAGGGGTATTCTCTAGATGGTAAAATAACCAGAATACAGTCCAGATTTGGATCCACACGGTCCACATGTGCTTCTAATATTCTCTTTTCTACCCATTCTAATTCTTTTTCAGCCTCAGCTGATAGTACTCGTGGGCTGTTTAGGTCTTTATCTCCTTTTAAAGCCATTTTCAGGTGTTTTAAATCATGCCCTTCTACACCAATAATCGTCTGTAATTGAGAGATTTCTCCTAATAGTTTTTGAAGATCATTAAGAGTCCGGTAACGATCTCTTCTGATCTGTACTTTCTGTGGTCTAATTTTCTGAGCATCTATTTTATAACCTAAATAGTTAATAGAATCTCCTCTTTGTATTTTTTCTGGGGCAATTTGTAATCCCCAGCGAGGCAAAATTTCCTTTACTGCCTCAAACATCTTTTCCAAAGTATCCTTATTTGAATCAGACAATAATATGTCATCCATATAATGATATATTAACGAATGTGGAAATTTTTTACTGAATTATTTCTAGAGGTTTATTCACAAAATATTGACACAAAGTTGGACTGTTTAACATACCTTGAGGTAGTACCTTCCACTGGAATCTCTGTACCGGACGGGAATTATTATAGGTAGGTACTGTGAAGGCAAACTTTTCTCTGTCGTTTTCTTGTAACGGTATGGTGAAGAAACAATCTTTTAAGTCTATAACTATAATTGGCCAATCCTTAGGAATTAGAGAAGGTAACGGCATCCCAGGTTGTAGAGACCCCATAGGCTGAATTACCTTGTTGATGGCTCTAAGATCAGTAACCATTCTCCACTTACCAGACTTCTTCTTGACAACAAAAACAGGCGAATTCCACGCACTAGTTGATTCCTCAATGTGTCCAGCATCTAGCTGTTCCTGAACTAACTTCTCCAAAGCCTCTAACTTCTCAGATGTCATAGGCCATTGACCCACCCAGACGGGTTCATCTGTCAGCCATTTTAATGGTAGAGCTTTTGGTTGCTCTGTAGGTTTGGCACTAGCATCTTGCTTCTGCACAGCCTGTACGTTTGGCATCTGTTTTCTGTACTGTCTTACTATATTCTTACTACCACTAAGAGCTTGTCTATAATTCCTAGCTGATACAGGAGGAATTTTAATCTGCGTATTCCATTGCTGGAGTAGATCACGACCCCAGAGGTTTATAGCAATATCTGCAACGTATGGCTTTAACCTTCCTCTCTGTCCTTCTGGCCCAATAAAGTCAATCCATCTAACGCTCTGTTTAACTTCAGATAGGGTTCCGATCCCTAAGAATTGAACATTAACCTCTTTTAAAGCCCAGTTTTGTGGCCAGGACTGCTGATTAAGGATAGTGACGTCACTTCCGGTGTCCAGTAATCCGTAAATCACCCTATTATTTACCTTAACCGGAAGTTTGGGTCTATGATATTGTATAGAAGTTTGCCAAAATATATGTTTTGTATCTCCTCCTGATGTAATTGATTCATCCTCTGGAGCTAATGTATTATCCAGTGCCGTATTATTTACAATGGGCAGTGGATCTTCTAATTGTCCTGGGAGAGGCTGTCCTCCACTGTCACTGGGAATGACCGGATAATCTTTCTCTTCGGGGCTCCATGGAGCCCGGAAGCCCGTTTCCCTGCTGTAAAAATCTACCTTGTCTGTCTATTGTGGAAAAGCATTCATCAGTCCAATGGCGCCCCTTCCCACACCTCCTGCATAGACCAGGAGGCTTAGGCCTTCTGTTTGATACATTCCTGGTAAAAGCATTATTTCTAGGAATGCGTTGTCTACAGTTCCTACTAAGATGTCCTATTCTACCACAGTTAAAGCATTTTGCATCTTTACGCCTATTTAAATTCTTTGAGATTGCCTTCCCTACCCATGCCTCTATATCATCACAGGTAGGGTATTTGGCATCCTGGTGCCTCCTCAAACCTGTAGAAATAGCTTCACCTACCCAAGCTCCTGTATCCTGACTTTTACATTCCAGGTTCGCTGTATGCAGAACCCATTCCTCCAATGGCGCT